CTCAACACCAAGCTTGCTTTTGTGGCTGCTCCATGTGCATCTCTATGACAGTTCTCTCCTCTTTCCTAGCCAGCAGCATTCGTTTAGTGTCCTCCCCAGGGAAGTCATCCTGGGTTAGCCAACAAAGGGACAATCTGCTCCCCTCTCCGGCCAAGGCACCCACCTCCCCTGGGCCGACCTCGGTTTCTTACAAAGACTGCAACTAGTTTCTAGATGTTTATCTCCTCACTAGACTGTGAGTTCCCCAATGGTAGGAATATTGATTCGTATTCATCCGTATTTATATCAGACAGCACTGGGATTGACACCTGTTTACTGAAAAGAACAAACGAAGTGCTTTAAACCTGCGGTCCGATGGAGTGACCAGCGACTACAAATGTGGACAGAGAAGCGATCTGGATCTGGTTACTAGTGAATTGGAGCAATGGGTGTGATGTGCCCTGTGAATACTAACTCCTTCCTGTTTCCTCACCTCACATCTTAGAAACAGAGATAGTGTGGAAATCTAGAAAGGAAGAAGAAACAAAGAAGGGGGAAATGCCAACCCTTACTGCATATCTGCACACAGTACCTCATGCAAGTCCTGTGTGATGCTGCAAGATAAGTACTTTGACCTCTATTTTTGAGGCTCAGATAGAGAATGTGGTCTTCCCAAGAGCACTCAGGCGGGGTGCTGCAACCCAGGACAGACACCAGGCTAGGGTTATGCTGAGTCCAAAGCAGGCATACAGCTCATGACCTAGAAATGGCAGGTAACCAACTTCTGAGAGAGCAGGCCGAGGAAGCGTAAAGGGAGAGCACTGGTTTGAAGTTAAAGATGGCATGTCCAAGACGGATCAAAGAGATGGAACGTGAATCTTTACACATGAACAGGTCTGAGATGCTTGCAGCAGGAAGTAGACCCCCATACTAGCCTGTCTTACCCTAAGAGCCAAAGGGGCTGAACTGCAAAGAGCATCCTATGCATCCACTGCCCCGGGGTGTCACAGTGAAGGTGCAATCAGCAAGCAGTCGGCAGAGAAGGTGCATTTGGCACCAGTGTGGGTAAAGAACAATGGAGTGGCTGGAGAGTGCACTGAAAGACGAAGAAATAGAGAAAATGGGAACAGTGAGAGACCCATCGAGACAGAAGAGCAGAAACGGGGCAGAGAACACAGCAGAAGGAGAACAGGGAGTTAAAAAGGAAATGGAGATGAACTTGGTAAAAGAAAAGCGACAGACGGAGATGGAAGAAAAGTGCCAAGGGGTGGAGAGGGAAAAGGAGGGCGCTGAGGGGCATAAAAGAGGGAGAGTTTACAAAAAGAATGCCAAAAGGGGAGGTAAGACCAAAGAAAGAGAAAAGCAAACACTGAAATACAGCCAGGACAGAGAGCAGACACTTACGTCCTCCCCCATCCCCAGACAGCTTGCAGAGAGTGAACCTCACATCAACTCAGCACTCAGCACCCTGACAGGACCCTGCAACCTCCCTTAGCCTTGCTCTCAATAAGTCTGGGACAATTTTCCTGGGAGGATTCACAGACAGTAGTCCCAGAATCCCACTCTCAGACAACCTGAAATACCCAAATATTAAAGGAAGCCAGAGGTGTGCTGACAGCTGCTTCAGTAAGGAAAAATCAGTTCCATTTGTGAGAGGCAATCTGCACTGCCACTTTCCCTGACACGGGAGATGGTAATTGCGATGTCCTCTCTCTACCTGAAGAGAGCCTTTGAAACCAGAAAGAAGGTCTGGAAAGAGCAGGAAAGGCAGCTCCCCACTTCATCTGCCCAGCCGGGCTCCTGGTGGCACCCATGTCTGCAGCCAGGGGGCTACACCCCAGTGTTGGGGCCCTTTGAGGCCAAGCCATGGACACGCAACAATATTAGTGGCTGAGGGATGAAAATAAGTCAACTAATTCCAAATTCAGGCAAGAAACAGACACCAAGGTCAAGGTTATGTGGAAATACAAAGATCTACAAAAGCCCTTAGAACATTCCAGAAGTGGAGTAGGGATACAAATCCCACTCCCCAGGTTAAAAAGGTAAGGTCAGTGCCATGAGAGAGAGAAGGGACAAAGAAAAGGCGTGGTTGAAAGCAGGATGAGCTGTTCAGAAGGCTCAGGTCTCCACAGTTACACAGGTCTGTATCTGAGCTACAAGAGCCTCGAACATGGGTAACACGATCCGACTCAGACAAGTGAGATGAAATCCAAGCGGGGAGGCTGAGGTACATGCTGTATATTCCTTGTACCACAGAGGGATCCTGGGGAACTCCATAGAGGAGAGGGATTTAAATCTAAACTTCCTGCAAGGAACAACATTCTAATAAACAGAGCTGTAGAGACACCATTTGTTTGAGGCATGAGGTAAGGTAACCTGTGGGGCTGAACAGGGCCTGGGAACAGTAAGGGGCCTTCTGAACCACACTGTGAAGTGCTGAGAGGGTAGAATTAATAGCCACAAGGAAGCTGGTTTAGGAATGGGCTCTCCTTGGCATCTGATACCGACTTGTCCACAAGAACAAGTTTAACGCCTTTCTACTTAAAAGTTCTCTGATTAAAGATGGTAGCCAAAACCTTCTGTGTGCTCTCCTGCAAAATAACAGTAGAGCGACAGGAGTAACAGCAAACTGAAAGGAGCCTGTGGTTTCTCAAGTGCTTCCATTCCTGACTTTACCTCAGGGCCCATTGTGATGGGCAGCTGCTGCAGGCTGGGGTGAAGATAATACCGGTCATTGGTGCCAATCATTATGTGCTTGTCAGCTATGAATTTCCCCTCATTTTACTTGACAGAACAAGTAGAAGAGAGGGTCTGTGAACTTGGATGAGAAAAGGTTACATCTGTATTTGCACTAACTTCCTGCTGAAAGATAGCATCTTCACTTTTCAAGGTTGCAAAAGGCCACAAAGTCTTGGCAATCTTTGATCTCACTCGTCAACAGAAATCACAGATATTTGCAGATCCTATTATAGATGTTGAAGATGTCTTCAAATATCACTTAGAGTCATGAAAAAGCACATATGTTAGTATGCTGTACGTACAAATATTTAGTAATTATTTGGATAAAACTGTATCCTTTTAAAACTTTCATTTTATGCATTTAAAGCAAGATTAAGAATGTACAAGGAAACTTGTGAGGGAAGAAAAAGAACTCCAGCGAGGGTGGGAGGGAGGTAAGAGGGGGTAACGGGATGAATATGATCAAAACACATCATATATTTATATGAAATTGTCAAAAAGTAATTCACAGAAGAGGTTCAAACGCTTCACCATACTTCCAAAGGCACAGGACAGTTAAGGCTTCCCTGGGGCTGGCAGGATGGCTCAGTGGGGAAAGGCGCTTGCTGACAATCCTGACAACCGTTCGATCCCTAGGACCCATGTGGTAGAAGGTGCGAACCAAGCCCCGAAAGTCATCCTCTGACCTCCAGCTTCCACACACTCACCATGGCAGGCACACAACCCCACATATACACACATAAATTTACTTTTTCTTTAAAGACTGAGCTGAATGTCCTGGAATAAAAGCCGCAGGAGAGCTCTCCCCTGTCTTTCTCCACAGAGGTATCTCCATAGCTTAGAAGAACAAATGGCACATAAAACCATTCAGCAAATATGGACTGCGACTGACCCGAGGAACCCTTGCACTCCCTGCCTCTCCCTTGGCTTCCAGCGCTCTCTTTGGAAGCCAGCTGGTGTCCCATGACTCCACATTTCTGACTGGAAACTGCTCTGCTGTTCTACTCTGGGATTCATCACAACCCCACAGGAAGGTAAGGAGAGACAAAGTGTAAGCTCCAATCTGCTGCTGCTAATTAGCTCAGGGTGAACCCCTAGTACTAAGAAGTTGAGTGGGAACCTCCCGGGATGCACTTGCTTGGGTTCAAGGAGAAGATCCTGGAGGCTAACTGAGTAACCCTCACTGTCCCATCACATTCCCTTCTGTCCTCTCCACAAGGGATGACGAGGCTACTGGGATGGAAGGACCCAGCAGAGGGGTCTGTCCTGGGAGTCAAAGCAGACTTTTCTCATAATGCCTACCTTGGACAAGCAGATAGACTCCATATTCTGGCTCTGGGGTTCTGTGGGTTCAATGACATCAATGACAGCACCTAGGGCCCTCATCTATCTGCTGGTAAGATTCCCTAGAACATCACAGGTTACAACAATTACACTGATAAGACAGGGGGCAGCTGCTTAGGCCTCACCTTTCATATGTGTGACCCCATATGATGTTCATCACAATTGTATTAATTAATAGAAATAAGCACCTATATTACCATTTAGGACAAATTCTAAAGCCCAGGGAAGTGTTAGGGTCAACTGTGGTAAAGCCAGCTTTACTTGCCTCCAGCCTGCCTTTCTGGAAGCCTTAGGGAAAGCTGGGGGCAGGTTGAGAACTCACCAGGCAGGCCACCAGCACAGCATCACTACTGTTCCTCTCTGATGGCGATCTGCAGAGCTCAATGAGTCGGGACATACCTGCAGGAGATATGAGGAGATCCTCACAACCAGGTTAGGGAAGCCTGACCGGGCTGGTTCAGAGGGGCTAGCTCTGGCTCACTCACAGTGCCTATTAACTGCCAATGTGCTCTGAAAAGCTGCTCCCACCCGAAGGGGCATTTCTTGGAGACTTTCTACTTCCTCTGTTGTAAACTGACTCTGTTCAAAGGCCAGAAAAGCTAGAATCAGAGTCAAACCCACAGATGCAAGACCACTGGCCTGGGGTAACTTTGGCAGAATGCCTCAGGCAGCACTATTGCCCAGCTTTCTGAACGATGCTCCCAATTGAAGTACGTCTACTTTAACAAGCACAATGCTTAACATTCATGTCTGTGCTCTAGGAGCTTCCCAACTATGTTTTCCCCAATTGTCCTTTCCAGTCAGAAAATATATCTTAGCTAAAGTTAGAGAAAGCTGTAGACGCTATTACTGTTTCCTAGGGCTTTACTAAAAAAATAGGTCACTAAAAACCATAGAGAAGATTCACATCCTTGTTAAAAAACATTCTTTGACTCATCTAGATAAATATATTCTACTTCTGTCTATAAATTATGCTTTTAGCATCACTGCTATGACGCTCAGATGCAGGCTGTTTTCATATCTGTCATCACTCTTGTGGTCAGGACAAATGTTATATCCCTAGCATTCGGAGTAGACCTTAGCATAGAGTGATTGCTCTGAAGTATTGGGATAAATTAAAGCCTACCAATGAGTGAGGGAACTAAGGAATAATTAGACAATGAACAAGCTGAATAGATTAGTAACTCAGTTGGTGAATCAGTGAGGGAACAAATGGACAGATGCATAAGTGATGTGTAAACAGCCGAGTAACTGGGTAAATGGACACATGAAGGACGGACTAGGGTTCTACTTGACAGGGAGTCTCAAGGTGAGTCACTAGTCTGACCAACATTTACCTCTCTAGGCACCTCCTCCCTCCTGTTAGACTCAGGGCTCTGTACCCCCGCATATCCCAGCACCCCGAGAGTGGGGCTCGCTCCAGTTAGTCCTAACACTTTGCCCACTGATGCTGCCAAGAGATCAGAGCTGCTGCATCCCCAAGCTCCCCACTCCATTCCAACCACAGCCAGCATCACTTACAGCTGAGCCTCACGGCCTCCTGGGCCACATCTGGGTCTCGGCAGAGGCGGGCTAGAGTCACTGCAGCTTTCTGCTGGACTCTCTCACAGGCTGCTGCTTCAGCAGGGGTCGCAGACCTTGGCTTCTCAGACAGCATGTCCATGATGAGCTGGACCCCTGCGCAGGAAGCAATGAACAGTTGGTACTTACTCCAATTTTGCCCACATGGCCAGCTGGACAGATGGACACAGGCCTCAAGTAAAGGCTTGGGACTGGGGGAAGTCTCAAACAGAAGGTGGAAGCTGGACAAGGCCACCTCTTTTCCTCTCCTACCTCATTCGGATATGTCTGATTCCATGCACCAAGTCACTAGACTAGGAAGGAGCATCTGGGGGACACACTGAGTTTTTAAAATGGCATTACTGATTTTATGACATGTCTGGCACTGTGTTAAATGCATGATCACCTCAAACCTCCCAACAGCCTCATGAACTGAGTGTGACTGTTAGGTTCTGCTTTGAGGCCCAGGGGGCAGGAAAACAAGCCTCTTGCCCAGAGCACAGAGATAGTACCTGGAGGTGCTGCATGGAACTTAGACAACTGGTTGTCTGATGGGGTTGCATCTGAGGTGGGTCCAGAGTTGGTGAGTCCCAGGGTAGATGGTGTCCCAAGCTTAGGCTAGAGAACCAGGAGATGGAATGCTTCAGAGTGAGACAAGCTTTCCAGGTGGCGATGAGTGTGAGATTTCAGCCTGGCTTCATTTTGTTGAGGAGCTGCCTATCGCCACCCTCAAAGCCAGTTCCATCTCCTGATGGTTTTAGAAGCCATACCCACACCCATGCCACCTGCATGCCTTTGCCCACCCTTTCTGTGGGGGATGCCATGTGTGGATGCCCCTTGCCTTCTTAATCACTATTTTCTGTCCTACAAGTTTGCCACAGAAGCTCATGTATTCTACCTGAGAGCTCCACCACACACTGCCCCAGCCCAAATCAGCCATCGTGGAACTCAAACTAGGCATTATCTAAAAATATATTTTGCTTTTTTTTTGTGGCTCCTAAAAATTTTTGTTGTATGCAAATTGGTGGATTTCCATAAAAATTCAGATCTCTGATTTCTAAACACCCACCTTCTGAATTGACAATAGTGAGCTCACATACATTTCTGTATGACCAGAAGCTTACTGTTATTATTGGTTGTTGTTGTTGTTTTCTATTTTCTCATCTTTTGTTTTGAGTCTCACTATGTATCCCAGGCTGGACCCGGAACTCACTATGTAGCTGAGACCTGCCTGGAACTGGAAATTCTCCCACCTCAGTCTCCTGAATGCTGAGATTATAGGCATGTGCCACCATACTTGGCTTACGTTTCTTATTTAATGAGCTTGGTCTAGTCCCTGGAAAGTGACCATGGGCTCTTAAAGCCCAGACTATTTAATACGGCTTTCTTTTATCCAGACCCAGGAGTTCTCTGGCTTCTCGTGGCCTCTGGCTATGTCACCACCTTTGTTCATCCCTCAAATCCTGTTCCGTTCTTGCTATACTGCCTTCATCAAACCCTCTTTTGTAGAGCCCCGTGACACTGCCCCTGCCTCCTGATAGAGCAATTAGGCATGGCACAGTGCTTGTCCTGGGTCAGACACTCTCTTAACACCTTTCATGGTCATCCTCACACTCTTCCTGTAGCAAGCATTGCTACCATCCGCACTTTTCAGATGCAAAAGCTGGAGACCATACTGTTAGTAAATAACAGAGCCGGGATTTGAGGCCACCGAGCATGACTCCATTGATCTTGTTGCTCTTAGTCACCCTGCCATCCTCACAACTCTAGTTGTCCAGCATAATGCCAGGCACATAGTAGGTTTCAGTCACTGTGGGCTTAGCAAGTAAGCCAACAGCACTTTGTAAGCCATAAAGCCCTCTCCAGATGGCAATTATTCCAACCTCAAAGGCACAGGCGAGTGGCAGCCTGCTGCCACGGGCCACTTAAGCCCAGACTATAAGTGCTGAACGAGGTGCCGACAAGGACACCGCGCGGCTTCTCCTCCTGGCCTCAGCTGGCTCCGCACAGTTTCTCATTATTAGCTCAATCACATGAAATTAACACAAAATGGTGTGTTTCAATTAGTACCCTAGTCATGGGGGCTGGGGAAGTGTGTGTTTGTTAAGACAGCAGGGCAGCCTGGGGGAAGGGACTTTCGGAGCTCAGAGGCAGGGGCCAAGCTCTCAGATCACGCTCTCCCTCATTAGCGTCTCTGGTCTCCAACTGCTTGCTAATTGCTCCCTTATTTTTCAGTCACAGGAAGCTCTCACTACCCTAGCTCTGTTCCCAGCTGCAAGGCAGCCACCTTGTCTTGTGGCAGAGACTGCCCGTATCAGCCTTCAGCCAATAAACCCAGCCCCACCTCCCCTGGACCTTGGGGACACAAGGTAGACCACAGCAGGCAGGTGGGCGATTGAGAAGACATTTTCAGGGAATGGCAGAGGCATCCAGCCCTCCTGTCTTCCTTACCCGCATCCCTCCCTACACACTGACTTTCTGTGAGGCAAACTCCAATAAGACAGATGAAATAACGACGATTCCCTACTCTGGAACAGCCTGACCTCCTTCCCCTTTATTGCTCTCACACCACTATCAGCACATGGTGTTATCGTCATCATCTATCCCCCACTAGAACTGAAACCCATGAAGGCAAGTGAACACTTCAATTCTGGCCCAGCTGGACACAGATTTGTGTGTATGTGCACACGCACGCACTCATAGAGGCATGGAAACACATATATGTATTTATAGATCTATATTTACACATTGGCACATGCAAAAAGGCACATAATTCCATATACCCACATAATCTACATATCATGTACAATGTACTCAGACATACCATTCTCCTGAATGATGTCAGAGGCACACTGCTCCAGCACAGACATGTTTGCTAAGATGGTCACAATCTGGAAGAAAAGAATTGAGAAACTATAAAATAGATACATGCTTTCCGTGGGGCTGGGGAGTGCAAAGTTCCCTGTATTTGTTATTTTCCTGTTGCTGTGATCAAATACTGCCATCAAAAGCAACTTAGAGGAGCAAAGGGTTTTTTTAGCTCACGTTCCAGAGGGATGCATCTATCATGGCTAGGAAGGCATGGCAGCAAGAATGTGAGGCCTGCCCTGCTGTCAGGAAGCAGATCACATTTCATCTGCACACAAGAAGGAGAGAGAGAATGGGAAGTAGGGTGGGGCCATAAAGCCTCAAAGCCCATTCCCAGTTATGTACTTCCTCTAGCAATGCTCTACCTCCTGGAGGTCTGAAGGTCCCATAACCTTTCCAAACAGCACCACCAACTGGGTAAAGCAATGGGGGGATGGGGGTGGAGAGACACTGGTATTCATATACCTGAGCCTATGGGGGCACAACTCATTCAAACCACTACACAGTCCTTCAGCCTGGCTCCTTACTGTATATCTGTCCATCTTTCCACAGTTTTTCTTCTATTTTGATGTGTTCCTGCCTACCAAATGTAATCCCAGTGATTGATGCCTGTTCTAGTTTGCTTCTCAATTGCTGTGACAAAACACTCTGACCAATACCAACTTGGGGAGGAAAGGGTTTATTTGTCTTACAAATCCTGAGTCACAGTTCATCAGGGAGCCCAAGGTAGGAACTCAGGGCAGGAACATAGAGGCAGGAGCTGGAGCACAGGCCATGGAGGAATGCTGCTCACTGACTTGCTTTCCTGGCCCTGTTCTTATACAACATACGCCCACCTGCCCATGGGTGGCACCACCCAGAGTGGGATGGGCCCTCCCACATCACTCAATAATCAAGAAGATGCCCCACAGATATTGCCACAGGCCAGTCCATTCCCCAGTTGAGGCTCCCTCAACCCAGGTGTGTCAAGTTGACACTAAAGTTATCCAGCACAATGCCCATTCATCAGCTTATAGCTCTGGGATGGTCGTCCTGAGTCCCCTTGAGAGAACAGCATTGCCCTGGGTAAAGCTGGGGCCCAGCTCTCTGTGCTGCTTGATCCTCTTTTCCTAATCCTTAAAATACAGACAGACCCTGCAAGTTCCAGGCCCTTCTACCTCTTCAGTTCTTACTTGACCTCCCGGAACTTTGAAACTTTGTTCTAGGCCTTAATTAGGTTCTTCTAGCTCAATTTCCTTCCATGATACTGATCCCCAGCCTGAGATAAATGAAGGCTTACATCAAAGCAGAGAGTATACACAAAAGGCAGCTTTGTACCCCAAGCGTGAGATGTAATATGGATTCTGATAAGAAAGCTCCTGCTTGGCCACTTTATAAGTCTTTAGTCTGTAAGCCTCACTTATGGGTCACCACTGAAGGACTTAATCCTTAATGATGGGATACTGATATTCACTGGACAGCCAGTCTTGGCAATAGCCTCTTGGGCTGTACCCCAGCCCCACAGCATGATCAAGAGAACCCAGTGAACTCACAGCACAGAAAGTGGATTGAAGAATAACCAACAGGAGAGCCAAATTGTGGAACGTACCAAAAGCCACTGAAATGTATTGGAGGCATGGAAGCTCCTAACAGAGACTCTCTTTATACTGATCCTAAAAGAATCCACAAATGAACATTCACCCAACTTACAGGAGCAGACAACGTGCACACATGGTCAATAAAATAGATAGCAAAGCAAAAATCGCTTCTCCCTGGTGTGAGCTCGCTGCCCTGGACGTTTCCCTTCCAAGCTGGTGGCACTGTACAGGCAGAAGTTATGCCTATGCTTCGGAGACAGCAATTGTCAGTCTACAGAAGACAATTCAGGAAGTTTCAGTTCTGAAACTGGATAGTAATGCACTATTTACCAAGAAAGAGTACTATCCAGATTTTTAATATAAGCATAGCACTGTAGATAATAAAGCATCTAAAAATCTCTTCTTTTAAATAGAAAGGAAAAAGGTTTGTCATATTAATAGAATATCTATCTCCCCCTTCCTCTCAAGACACATGTTGGAAATGGAGGCGGTATCTCTGTATGTCAGCCTCTTCCCACGCAGACCCGGTCAGGGACTGGGTGGGTGGGTAAACAGTGACTGGAGTGGCATGTCAGGGGATGGACAGAAAACCTCTTCAGAAACCTTGTTCTGAATTCAGCTCCACGCTTCACAAGAGGAGTGATAAGCACATATTTACATTTTAGAAAGAAAGTCCAACTAAAGGAGTTTTGTTTTTGAAAGTTCCTCTTTCTCTCATTTTAGGATAGTTTTTGTGGGCTTGGTAGAAGAAGTTAGAGGGGAAAGATGGGTCAAAGATGCAGCTCCCAAATGTAAGGTCCCTCAAGATGCAAAAAGTGCATAGTCTTAGAATAAAGACATACAAGGTCAAGTCTATGCCAGATTACAGTACACTGGGATGTCTCTGGACTATTATCAAGAGCAGGAACACAGCCTCTATTCCCACCACACAGGGGCTGCCATGATCCAGCTATCACCAGATGGGCCTCTTCAAATGCAGTAATTTGTTTGACAAGTACATTCATAAAGAAAGGAAGGAAGAGAGGAGAGGGGAAGAGAGGAAAGGGGGACAAGAAAACCTTTGTCTGCAGCAAGGATTCATTACATGGCAATCATTAGCTGGGTCACAGGCACCAGGTAGGTCTTTGTGTTGGACTAATTTAGATCCTGTTAATGAAAATTACTTCCTCTTTACAGAGTCTGTACCCCATGTGGTTTTCTGAGGTGCAGATGAAGTAGTCAATTAAGCACAATTTGAATAAATGCCAATTATACCCTGCTTGGAGTCTCCCTTTGGAAACATGCTTGAAGGCAACCTGATATAAAGGGGAGAGAAGTCAATGCATCACTTAGACTAAATCAACCCCACAACTGGAGTTTTAAGGACAACTGGTTTACCTGGCTGGATATGCTCTAACAATGCTGCCAAGGTACAGAATGCTGGAATAAGGTTCATGGTCTCCCTTGGCTCAGGCTAATTCAGTTGGTGTTAAATTAGGTCCCATTTTTCCTAATCCTCCTGTAGTTATTTGGTGAGTACAAAAGGTATCAGCCTCAAGAGAGACCTTAGGTGAAAGGTGGTCTGTGAATCACCTGAGGTTCAAATCTTGGCTCCATTTCGTGTTTTTCATATGATTTTAGCAATGGTACCCAACCGTCTGTGCCTTCTTTAAAGAAGAGGGATATATTTCCTGTTGCTGCTTAACAAATTATTACAAACTTAGTGGCTTAAAACAACACAATGTTATTATCTTGCAGTTCTGTAAGTCTAAAGTCATAAATGGGTCCTGAGGAGCTAACATCCAGGGGTTGATATATGTGTATTCCTTCTGGAGGCACCCGGGAAGAAGCAAATGAACTGTAATCTGACATGAACTTAGTCTTGTATCTCTCCCTCTTAAGACTGTGCATTTTGGTGCTGGAGAGATGGCTCAGCAGTTAAAAGTACTTACTGTCAGACTTTAGATTCTAGCACCCATGTAACTAGCCAAGAAAATGTGAGCCCCGGGTTCAAGGAGAGGCCCTGCCTCAAAAATAATAGATGGAAAGTACTAGAGGACACCTAACTCTCTTTTGACTTCCATGCTTGAACACAGGTACATAAACCTGCACACATGTGCTCATACACTCATACAGACACAGACACAAACAGGCAGACAGACACAGATAGAAAGATAAATGATGATAGATAGATAGATAGATAGATAGATAGATAGATAGATAGATAGATAGA